GAACAATTAGCACATAATTACTAGCTAAGAACTGAAAGAATGGTGAAAAGAGTACTTATCCACTTTCCACCTTTAAACCAATAAAATCAGATACAATTTATTTTGAGTATGCCTCTTAGATTCATTTTGACCTGATCCTGATCCCCCATCCATTTTTGTATTCATTTAAAGCTTTGAAGCACTGTCACACATGCTAAGCATAGTGTCTTGCTGACATCTAAACAGATGCCAAAAGATACACTGGGTCTATGACAGGCATCCCAAGGGAAAACCATCAAGAAAAGGAGAATAGACTACTTCAGTTTATTTATCTGTAAGCTATGTGCACAGCTCCCCCACAAATATATGTCATCTCTACTGAAAGATGGACATATCTTGATGCTCTTGCCAAGTTCTCAGGGAAAAGTTTTCAATCAAGAACAACTGTAGGTTCGATAAAGTTCGTATCATTTGTCCTCCAAGGCAAGTTTCACCATCTTGGATGGAACAAAAAAAATCTTGAGAGGATTTGATAAGGAAATAGCTGGTCTAAATACGGGAACAAAATACACCCACTTTACGTGCAGAAATGCTCAGACATGAAATATATCCAGTGAACACCATCAGCCATTAATGAACATCTATGTTAAAAAAGCTAGCATCATCTTAAAGGCATCAATTAAACACCAATCTACAGAAAAAGGATAAACAAATTATCTCTTTGCAAACCTTTTAAAATTTACATTTTTCAGGCACTTACCTAAAAAAAAAAGCCAGGAGGAAGTGATATAGAGATTTGAAATAGGAAAGAGACAACTTTCACTGGCAATGTAGGACCACCAGCAGTGACTGTTTTGCTCAACTGCATTTCTTTTTTATCTGTCACATACTTACACCAGAAACACCAGAGGTGTGTTAGGGCTACTGGAGGTTGCATCTACCTGCAGAGAAGCACACATAAATCTGTCTCAGAACTCTTGAAAAGTCTAGGATTAGTCAATCTTCTGAAGTCTTTGGTGGCTAAGGACCAAAGAAGAGCAGCCTATGTTTGTGTACTAGGTGTACACCGCGAAGTTCTGCTACTGCTAAGGGGACTACGGGGATGGCTTCTGTGAGAAGCTGCCAGACATTTCCCCCATGTCCAATGAATCCAACACCAGCTGACTCCTAGACAGGCCCACTGCTGGCCAAGGCCAAGCCAACCAGGAATGGTAGTACTGTCTCTGATATAACATATTTTTAAGAAGGAAAAAATGTTATTGCACAGAAATAATTTGTGGCCAGAGAAAAGAGGCATGAGAATGTGTGAGAGGAACAGCCCTGCAGTCACCAAAGTGTGTGAAGAAAGAGGGGGAGGCAGTTCTCCAGGTGCCCAAGATGAGATTCCCCTGCAGCCCATTGTGAAGACCATGGTGAAGCAGCTGTGCTCCTGGAGCCCATAGAAGTCCACAGAGGAGCACAGGTCCACCTGTAGCCCATGGAGGTTCCTGGAAGGACACTTTTACTCATGGAGAGAAGAGCAGGACTTAGTGACTCAATGGGGGTCCCATGCTGACTGGATCAGTTTGCTCCTGAAGAACTGAAGCCTGTGGCAAAGACTCATGTTGGAGAAGTTCATGGAGAACTGTCTCCCATGGGAGGGATTGTGCACTGGAGAGGGGGAAGGCCTCCTCTCCCTGAGGAGGAAGCAGAGGCAGAAACAACATGTTTCTAATCCCCATTCCCTGCTTCCCTGTGCTGCTGGTGGGGAAGAAGTAGGGACCTGGGAATAAAGTTAAGCTTGGAAGGGAGGAGAGATGAGGGAGAGGTGTTTTAAAATTTGTTTTACTTCTCATTATCCTACTCTGATTTTGATTGGCAGTAAATTCAGTTATTAATTTCTCCAATTTGAATCTGTTTTTCCCTGTGACTATAACTGGTGAGTGATCTCTGTTAGCTCATAAGCCTTCTGCTATATTTTCTCTCTCCTGTCTAGTTGAAGATGGGAGAGACAGAGAGGCTTTGGTGGGTGCCTGCCTCCAGCCAGGATCAAACCACGACACCTAGACACATTACCTTCCTATCACTGGCAAAGGTAACCACTGCTAATCTTCAACAGTCAAGTAAACTTTTACTGAGGGAATACCTTAAAAGCTGGCTCACCTGGTCTTCAAGGAAGAATCAGAACCACACCAGCAATGCTTAGGTACAGATGTGAGCCAGGCTTTCATTCTTTGCTTGCACTGAGAAAATTGCTGCTGCTACCTTTGAAAAAAACAGTACCCTGTTCTCCTGAAATGTGATGATGCTAATTCCTTATTCAGAGAATAAATGCTATTTTCAGTTCTTCCACTGAAAAAAAAAAAAAACCAACCCACACGGGTATTTAAAAAAATCCAAAGCTCTGGCACCTAGCCATGACAAAGAGCCAAAACTAATATGATTTCCTACAAACACTGGAATGTACTCTGCAAAACAGCTACGGTCCAGTGCGTATCAACTGCTGGTGGCCTTCCCCTACAGCTAACTACACACTGCCTGTATTAGCTACCAGTCCTTTCAACCTCAGGCAATGCATTGTTGTTCATTATCTCCACTTCTAGCTTTTACGCATTTCGTAAGAAATATTTTAAATTTTGAAGTCAGGATTGATTTTTGCTGATGCATTTTTGCATGTTAAATTAGAGCATGCATAGACCTTAACCATGTTAGTTTAAACAAAGGCAGCTATCAAGTCATGTGCATGGAGGCTACTTGAAAGATAATTACGATTACAGTGAATTTCGCTCACACCTGCAGAGTTCACAGTTCAGCTATGAAGCTGTAAGAGGGTAAATAACTGCACACAGCCAAAAATGCAATGCATGAGATTTACAAAGCAAGAGCATCTTAGCTCAAAACATGACCCCAAGCAAATACCAGGATTTATCTGGAGATCTATCAATCCCCACCCATATTTTGATCAGAGGAATAAAAAACAAAACAAAAAAAATCCAAACCAGTAAGGAATAAGCAGGTTTGTCCAAGGGATGATCAAAATGATCCATATTTTATCAATGTTTTTGAAACACAGGCAAATACTTCAAAAAACAAAATACTCTTAGCTTACACAAGCCTGTATTGCCTGTTACTCTGTTTGTTGAGCCTCTCACCAAGTTTCCAGGAGTGAGGATGATTACAGAGGAAGCCCACAAACTTTACAGACTGCAGGTAGCTAATCAAAGAGTATCTACCCAACCAATCAATTGTGTAGATACCTATTCAGCTGGCCTTTCTACAGACAACTGAGCTGCAGCTGGATGAGGCTATGTGAACAAAGCCCAGAATTACATGTTTAGACAAGCAAAAGATATTTTCAGAATGTAAACAGAAAAGTGCCTGGGTTGGATAAATCTGTCCAATTGCTGCTGCCCACTGGAGTATGGATCCCATCCACGGCACTATTAATTGGTAAAGCAAAATTCCTGAAGAAAAAGTACCAAAATCTGAATAAAGTTTTCAAGGTTAAAAACTCTCATACAGATGGAAGCCTTTCCTTACTAGAACAGCTTGGCATTTCTGAATGCTAATAAAAGCATGAGAAATATAGGTTTGGAATAAGCACTGCTTTATTCTTCAAAGCAGAGTGCCCACTGTGGAGACACAACAAACATAATTCTTTACTTCATGCAGCCTGCTGTACTCCTGGACAAGAGAAACAGCTGGTACTAAATTAAAAAAAAAAAAAAAAAAAAAAAATTATAAAAAAAAAAAAAAAAAAAAAAAAAAAAAGTATTTTAAAAGAACCAGAGAGTACTAAACAGATTTTAGTGTGAAATATTTGTTTAGCCTTAGAATACCTGTGTCCTATGTTTGCAATGATAAACATAACAGGTTGGTTTTGTCACTTCTGTCTACATCCATTTGCTTTTGCAATTGAGTAATTTGTCTTGACAGAAAGAAAATCAAATGTACATCATTCCTCCAAGTGAGCCATCTGAACTTTAACAATGTACAAATACTGACATATCAGCTGATAATTGCAGATTTTGGTGCCCAGAAAAAAGTGAAGAAACCCAGATTCCTGTCTGTTTTCACTAATAACTAAGCTAAGTGGAATTGCTTTCCACATTATCCTTCTCCTGCTGACCAGAAGCCAACTGTTCCACCACACAGGTGCACATCTGTGATTGATCACTTCAACTCAAGGCCTGCAGCTCAGGATGTGACTTCATGGTCAGCTGAACAGAGATGAGGGGGGGCTACCACCAGAGGCAGTGGCTATTCACACCTACCCCCTCTCTAACTACTCATTGTCACCTGCTGCACTAGCATCCATGGTGAGCCACGTTGGTGAAATAATCTGCCCTTTTAGGCACACATCTGCACGTGTCTGCACTGTGCAAAAGGAACTAACAGGCTGGAAAGACAGGCACAATATAGTACAAAATTGTGTTTAGAGAACAAACCAACACAGGGTAAAACAAACAAAAACAAGAGACCCTAAATGCCTACTCCCACCTTTTTCCTCTTAAAGAAACTATCATGATGCCCTTCCTAACCCAAAGTGTCATGAGCTGCCATGATGACAGAAGTAAAACAAAGGAAAAGCTTATGCAGGACAGTCCCATATGATAGGAACAGTGAACTTTATTCCTAAACAAGGGGTTACAATACACATTCATTAAATTTATCCTACTGACCTGCTTCAGGTATTGTTTTTGCAGCAGAATACATGTTCCAGAAAATGCTGCCAGCCAAAGGCCATCTTCACTTGCTGGATTAGTTCCAACTGCAGTGTCTTGGTTTTTTACATGAAAGTGCTGACAAACAAAACCACTAAATCCCTGCCTCCCATTGACTCAATGAGAAAAATTCCATTAGCTTAATGCATTTTAACCCAAGTTACAAACTTCTGAAAGCAACTGCGGTGGAAAAAAGTCAGAAAGGCCACATGCTGTTGATGTAAACTCAGCAGAGGTGCTTGGCACACAAGTAAACACACAATGAGTTAAAAACAAAAGCCAAAGAAGTAAGGATAATACAAAATAACAGCAGCTTACCTTTTGAGGTGGTGGTCCGTGGTCATCCAGATAAGTGGAATTTCCTACAAAAATAAGAAGGATGGAGATAAACAAAAGCCATCCAATGCAACTTCCAAACTTTCCAATTCATGGAACCAGTGCATCTCTATCGCACTAGTTTTGTGGTGTCAAATAATTAAAGGAAAATAAATTCCCTCTGCTTTAATTTTTGATTAACAAATAATTTATTGTGACTACATTTGTACCACAAGATTAGATGCACATTGTCATTTTAACAAAAAAATCACATGGCCTAAGGCAGTTTTAATAAATCAATCAGTATTCAATCATTTGTATGACAAAAAATTGCCAGCTGCATCCTTCTACATTTTAAGCAAGTGACCATGGTTAACTTCAGAAAGATTTCTTAAATAATCAAGTATCAAAGGCCTTTATCAAATTTTGGTCTGATGGAACTGACAAGTATTCACTTCTCTCCCTTCCAACTGTATTTTCCCCAACCTCCAAGCTACTTCTTTGTTCCTAAACAGAACTGATTTAATGGGAGTTATATTCTGATGTAATTGCACCTGCCTTTTCAAGATGTTCATTAAATTCATACAAAAAGCTTCAGAAAAAATAAAAGCTTCTAAACAAGTTCACCCTTCTTAGCTACAATAAAAAAAGAACAATTGCAGACTTTTTACCTCTTCTTTACAAACACACACTGATACATAAAACACACACTCCCTACCACACATAGGCTGTCTTCCATAACTGCTCTTCCCAAATCCGTCTCCAAAAGTATTAATCGTTTGCTTTCCCAACACCTTCCAGCAGATGATAAAACCTTGCAGCAAGCCTAAAATTTCCCTTTGGGCCACACATGCCTCTTCTCTCAATCATCCTCCTACCAAAGACAAAAAAAAGTACCTCTGCTCTAACCTTACATCAGTAGGAGGTATGAGAATTATTTCTACAGGTATCTACTAGACATCCTAAAGGCACATGGAAGATGACTTTTAAAAGCTTGTCTTGCTCATGAGCTCCAAGCGTGTTGAATAGGCAACAGAAACACAGGCTGGTGGGATAAAGCATAATTCAGAACCAAAGGGCTTTTCTCTCTACAATCTGGCCAAACCTCTCATTATTCCAAGTGCCAAAACTTGCTTCCCAGAGGTTTCTGGATCCAGGAGGCAAGAAAAAGGTGTTTGTGTCTGAGTGTTATGGCTACAGGACAAGGAGGTGAAGCTTTAGTGTGGAATATTCAGTAGCACCCACACCAATGCTGGGGGCTGGTTTCAGCAGGAAGAGCAGGGGGCTCTAAGTGGAAGGGCCACAATTCCCCTGCTGGACTCTTGGGAGAGGCAGCTGCCACCCGGACCACATCAGGGAGAGAGAGAGAGCTTTGCAGACCACCTCTGCTGCTGCAGCATGATGAATTTCTATGTACAACAAGAAGCTGGGATTGCTTCTCAGGAGTATTTTGCTTTCTGCTTTTCCTCTGTTTTTCCAGCACGTTACAAAGCCATGAAAATTTCAGTCAAAAGGCTTCCAACTCATCTAAAGGGAAGTCCCAATACCCATGCATATTTTTACAGATCTTGGAAGAATTTGTGCAACTAAAAAAGTCTGAAGAGTAACTTTTTTTATGGTCATCTGAAACTACAAATCATCTTCTGAAGCATATAAGAAACTCATCTCTCCATACATTTGACACAAATACCCACCCTTTGAACAATCCAGTGACTTAATTTAATGCCATAGATAATGTGGCTAATTGCCCTACATTGAGGATAATTTCTTTATCTATCCCTCTGATATTATTCTAATTGCCAGGGAAGAAATTCAGCTCCCAGACTGCTAGAAGAGTTGGCAGTCTGGGTTTCTGTTAGAGTAGCTACTCCACACACAGTGACACAGACTTGAAAAAAAGCATTTTCAAGCATTTCTCCTCCCACCTAATCTGGGGTGAGAGCAAGGAAAACTTCTCATTCAGAATTTACCTGTTACTAGTTCGTAGCAGCTTTCTACTCTTTGCAATTTGGCAAGCAGAAAGATTGGCATTTATTGATAAAAACATTCCTTACAGTTTTCTCATTGTGTCAGGAAAATATTTTCATTTTGATACACCACTAAAAAGTGATGTTTGTTGTCTAGACAAGCTAACACACTAGAAAAGTCAAACACTAGATGAAAACTACTAATTTTTTTAAAAATTAGTAAAACTTAAGTTTCAAAATTAGTGTTAAGGTGGTTACAAGAGTAACAGGTGCTTTTTTTTTTGTCTCCTCAAAACAAATGCAATTCATGCTTAGCTAAATAAAGTGTATCAATTACGTATGTATTAACTATATTTACCAATCACCTATCACAGCCAATTTCACAGTAGAGAAGGACTTGAATTACTAGTCAAGAGTTTACACAGCATCTTATAGTGCAGCATCAAGAGTGTCACTGTTATATCACAGAAAAATTTTTGAGATATTCCTTAAAATTAAAGAACTTATAACTATGTTCAGCTCTCTGTATCAGTAATGGACACTCTCAGTATGGAGACTGCATTCTCCTTCCTTGGAAATTTTTAAATTATCAAAACAACATGGAAATATCTCTAGTTTTGAACATATGCCTTGTAGATTTGTCTTCAGTAATCAATTTTTTTTTTCACAGCACAGTCTAGTGTATCCACTTAAAAGACAATTGTAGAATTATGGGCCATTTTAGAAAAGTTTTCAATGCAGTAGCTTACTCAAATTCAGAAGCTACAAACTGACAGAAACTAATTGCCCAGGCAACACAAGTGAGGAAGGAAACAGAGTATCCAGATTTCAAACAGATTTGAAACCTGGTCAGAATTACAAAGAGCAGAGGATGGAAAGCTGCAGACAGCCCCCACACCCCTACACCGCCCCACACTCCATGGGCAGCGCTGGCTCCTGTCTCATGCCACAGCTCCTCCTTCTGCTCCTCAGGCACATGAGCCACAAACAATCTCAGTGTCCACAGGTTGCCACAACAACATTCTGAATAATTTTGGGTTCAAGTTTTAATTGAGAAATGTTTTTCAGTAATAAAAGCAAAACTCTCTGCTGCATGATTCATACCATACACTAAGTAAAATACACTAAAATAACTCCACAAATCCAGCTGCAATGGAGTGCAGCAGCAGCCTGTGAGGTACACCAGCCAGCTCCTTAACCCCATGAAGCCCAGCAGTGCCCTCATTGTTCACTGCATTCTAGATCTCAGCTTGATTCCCCTCTGTCTGTAAAACAGGGGTCACACTACAGGAGCCTCAAGGAATGCAGAAATGTCAAGAAAAATGTGAACCCATGCAAAAGGTCTGAAGGAAAGAGGATGACTTTCTAACACAAGAGGCCATGAAAATCTTATTAATCGTATTAATATTAACTTGGGAGTAATCTTATTACTCCCAAGATGGGTACTTGCAAGTTTTAAAAACTTAAAACAGGGTGACAATTTTACACATAGGGCAACTTTTCAGACAATATATATCAAATTAGGTTAGTTTAAAAACAAAAGAAAAATTCAGCATTATAGAAATTGCAACCATTGGAAAGTACAAGGTAAAGCCAATCCATGAAGTACCAGCTGCTAACAGCTGACACAATAGGTGAGTTGCACAGTAAAAATCAGAGATTTAGGAATGGATACCAAAAGTACTGTAGTTAACCTCAATTGTTCATTGCAATTGCATTAACAAGCCTATCTAAACCAGAGAACATTATTTTACAGCTTTTATATGCTATGGCACAGACAACAAGAGCTTGACGTCACTAATGCCACAAGAAAAGAAGAAGCTTTCTGTGGTAGAAATGACAAAGTGGTAGAAGAGAAAGTAAATTTTCCTCATGAAGAACCTTGTCCATTGACCCAAAGCAACCTATGGCATTTAAGTACTAGTATGACTTCTCACAACTCCTTTAATAAAGCTTTAATAAAGATAGCATTGCTCTTGTCTGCTAATAACAATATTATTTTAGTTGGTTTGTTTCTTGGGTTTTTTTCTCCACTGGAGAATAATATTTACTCTTCAAAAAGGAAATCTTCTGCCTTCCTGTAATAGTGTGAAAAGTCTAAGGCATTAGAAACAAGTCAGACAAAATAATCAAGTCTCAAAACAAGTGATATTAAGCATTCCACAAACATGCTCAACAGCACACTTGGGCTGGCTGAACATGTCTCCTCCATACTCTGTCAGAGATGATTAAAAAAGGAGTCGGCTATATTATAGTAAATGGTGAATAGATGGAGGCAGTCCAATTTTTTCCATATTTCATTATCTTTGAGGTTGAGTTAATCAGTTGTATGCAAAATCTTTGGGGAAACTTTGTGGTTATGTTCCTTTTTTCTTGGAATCACTGAAGTATGGGGGTTTTGCTTGAAGTAAGCCAAGTTTAAACAGAGAAAGATGGTCAGTCAACCAGGATGAAGAACAAATACTGCTGTGTACAGTTCAGAACCACAGATAATGAAAGTAACTGCAATTCTGGAAAAAGAACCTTTTCAAAAAATACTGCAGAGTACAGGAATAGGAAGTAAATGGACTTGTGCATGAACTGAAGACTCTTTGATAGCAACTGAAACAGTGTGACTCTACTTGAACAACTCCAATATCCCACGGAAAGAGTTGTGTAAAGACAGGGAGAGAAAGCCAACACTGAAAACATGAAGCTTGGATGATTTTTCTGGACCAGGGTTTTCCTTTGTAGGGAATCACAAGCAGCAGCCTAAAAGAGCTGGGATCCAGCTAAGGCCAAATTTAATTTGTCATGTGAAAATCCTTTGTTCTTTTCACTCAGTCACCATCTCAAACTTCCAGGTGCCAATGCACCTCTACTGGCAAACAACCCCTTAGACCCTCTGACGTCTAAAGGAAAAGAAAATTTTAATAGCCTGAGGAGTCTTCTGGTCTGGAAATCAGACTTTGCAGAACAATTTTCCCACCAAGCCCCTCTAATCATTAAGAGCTGCACCTTCAAAATAAACTTAAGTGCCAGTGAGTTATCAGAAGACTATAAATTCTGCTGTGCTTCCTTCTTTATTCTTTTTCCCTCCC